GATAAGGATATGCAATATCTTCTAGCAACCAATCAGTGAGCGGTAGGATGTGCAGTGACCTCTAGAAACCAATGGGTAAGTGGTAATGATGTGCAGTAACCTCTAGCAACCAATGGGTGAGCAGTATGGATATTCAGTAACTTCTAGCAACCAATCAGTGAGCGGTAATGATGTGCAGTAACCTCTAGCAACCAATCAGTAAGCGATAATGATGTGCAGTGACCTCTAGCAACCAGTGAGCAGTAAGAATGTGCAGTAACCTCTAGCAACCAATCAATGAGCCTGGACCAATTGTTGAATGTGAGCCAGTTTTTCATGTTTACAGTATATGTGCAGGTACTCCCCCCCACCCCCTGATCACCCTTGTCTTTGTCCTCTACCCACCGCCCAGTATCACACTCTTGTCTCCAATCTTACCCAGCTCCCAGCACCACCCTTTTTTAACCACTTCCACTCTCACACTTGTTCACTTTGTAATGACCAGAGAATGTTTTACAATTCTGCTATGCACCTGTTTATTCTTCAATAACTTTGTCTTTACTTAAAGCGACATTAAAGCTTCCTTTTTTAAAATTAAAATAACAAACATACCATACTTACCTGCTCTGTGCAATGGTTTTGCACAGAACAGCCCAATCCTCCTCTTCTAGGGACCCCCACAGAAGCTCCTGGCTCCTCCTATTCGGCGGGTGCCTTCATGCAGAGCCACTTTCCATGGTGGCATTCGTGCGGGCTCGTTCCCGAGCCACCCTGTCTGTGTCCATTGATACAGAACAGGCCTTTTGGCCCCACCCCCCACCCACTCCCCGGACACAGTATTTGATTGACAGCAGTGGGAGCCAGTGGAGAGAGACAGCAGCGAGAGCTCCTCTCATGCACACCGCTGGATGGTATTGGGCTCAGGTAAGAATAAAGGGGGGCTGGGGGTATTGTGCAGCATGGAAGGTTTTTCACTTTAATGCATAGAATGCATTAAGGTGAAAAACCTGAAGGCTTAAAATTCACTAAGATAACAATGTAATACATATATTGAAAATGCTTCAAAATATCTTTTGTGATTCCAACTGTTGTATTGGTGACTTATCCCTTGCTGAGACCTCTATGCCTGGCCTGTATAAACAGATACAAGCAGCATAGACAGTCTTTATCAGGTAGCTGAACTCACCAAACACCTTTTTCTCGTCCACAAAGATCTTTATTGAATGCAGCAGGTTACAGCAGACAACAAGATGTAGCAGATAATTGAAAAGATGGTATTTGCAGGTCAAAACATGGTATTGTGTTCCCCCATGCGAGCGGATTACCATGTGGCTGTGAGACTAGCAGCCATCTCTATCCCATCATGCATTGCTGTGATTCTTTCTGTGATTCCAAATCTCGCTTCAGTGCTGGCAAAATGCAGCACACAGGTTTGTGTGTCATTCATTGATAATAGCGCCTAAAACATGGTGCGCTTTTGCCACGTATGTCAAATGATTGATCGTGCAGCAATCATGGTAAGACGCATCGCGCAAAGCTTTTTGGCCAAAAAAGAGGAAGAGATTCTTTTGGACAACAAGCTTCATGCAATGTGGTTTGCCAGAATTGCCATGCGATAAATCGTGCCACAATTGTGGAAAAACCACACCTTGCTTTAGATGTCATTAAAAGTGAATGGCACACAAACACGTGTGCTGCATTCCAAATCCAAATTGCTAGATCTCCTAGATTGTAAGCTCTACCGAGCAGGGCCCTCTGTTTCCTCTTGTCCCAAATTATATTGTAACTGTTATGTCTACCTTCATTTTGTAAAGCGCTGTGCAAACTGTTGGCGCTATATAAAATCCTGTATAATAATAATAATAGATGTGAACGGGGCACTAACATTAATAATCGAATGGAGAAGGAGAATAAGGAGTTAATTAGGGCTGATTAGAGTAAACTAAGGGTTAATAAGAGGGTAAACACAGGAATGTTTTATTTAAAAAAAACACTAAAACACTTTTTATTTATTTTTTTACTTGTCAGGCTTCTTTAACTGGCATCATCTGCAGATCAGTTCATTCCTTTGATCTGCAGATTACTGAAACAGAATAGATACTAAAGTAACAATGTTTTCTGTATCTTTCTATTCTTAACAGTATTGTTGATAAACACTGAGTCAGACTCCCAGTAATGGCACAGAAGACTTGGACATGCTACACACATCCTGTGTACTATAATTATGTTTTTTGAGCGTGTATAGCTTGTCCAATGTGTTGAAATAGTTGAAGAATAAATCTCTCTCAGCAGCAACAATAAATTTCCCAGCAGTAACAATAGATTAATCCACTAGCAACAAACGACCTCCCGCCACAGCAGCAACAATAAATCCATCTAGCAGTAACAGAAATCCTCCCAGCAGCAACAATAAATCACCCCAAATCATCAAATAAATCCTCTAGCAACAAAAAAAATCCCCCAGCAATAATAATTTTTTTTGCAGCATCAATAAATCACTCAACAGCAACAATAAATCCCTCAGCAGTAATAATAATTCCCAGCAGCATCAATATATACCCCAACAGCAACAATAAATCCCCCAGCAGCATCAATAAATTACCCAGCAGCATAATGAAATCCCCCAGCAGAAACAATACAGAATGAGGTGGTGTGGAATACAGAATGTACATCATAATATATGGAATGAAGTGGTGCAGAATAGGAAATGTACAGCATGACTTATATGGACTATGGTGATGTGGAATAGGAAACATAAAACATGACATATGGAGTGAGTATCTGGAGTTTTTTGGGGGGAAAAAGGAATATTTTAAGCTGTTATCATTTTTGATTATTTTTAGTTTACATACATACAGTAGCTGATATTGCACCTGGAAATTGGGAAATAAAATTACTTTGGCAGGCATAGAAACCAGACTTGGGAAACGATGTGCACTAAAAGATCATTTTGTAGGTAGTTACATTCCTGTATTTAAAATGTTTCATCTACATTAGGGATGGTAGTGTTATTCCTGTAATATTTTTATTTATTATTTATTTTTGTAACCACAAATATGTTCTTAGCAGGATTTCCCTTAGAAATGTCCAGATCTGAGAAATATCAAAATCTAAATAACAGCAAAAGTTATTCAGTGAAACCTTTAAGTAGAAATGTTTCCAGAAAGGTGGTAAGGTTACATCTTGTTTCACACTATCTTATGCTTTCATTTATTTCCTCCACAGCAAGGCTAGATCTTCAGACATGGAGAGTTAAATTGGTTTTTTATCTGTGCAAAATCAAAAGCAGCTTTCATCTATCTTGTATCTTCTACAAATGGCATCTAGAGGAGAAAGGAAAGACAAAGACAAAGATGAGGCTACAGTGCACATTTACGTCATATGCTATATTCTTGTTCTTTGGCATTTTCTTGAAAAACTCAATGTACACTGTATGGTGTATGGAGTAGTAGCTATTCATTTAGCTTTTGCTAGGGATATTTTGAATTACCAATTTAAAACCATAACTATGGGTTTTACCCTCCATCTCACCCCCTGCCTCTGTCCTATGTGGATTTTCAGCTCCTCCCTTTTTTTTTTATATATGTATATATATATATATATATATAGAGAGAGAGAGAGAGAGAGAGAGAGAGTAATTCCCAAAGTTTTGGGATCTTCTCCCAGAGGTCCTCAATTATGCTTAATGCAATAATGATATGATGTAAACGCCGCTTCTGCAACATTACGCATTGAGAATAGGGTACCATGGAGACGCTCCCTCAGGAGGCAAGTCCATGATGCCCTGTATTCCCAGTATGCTCTTTAACCCTTTAACGCTGGTGCCTCCCGGTCCTCAAAGAGGTTTCTGATGCTGGGAGCTGGGGCAAGGTTTGGGATCATGTGGCCACCATGATTGGCTGTCAGAGCGGTCACATGACCGTAAAGCTCCTGACCGCAATTAGAGTTAGCTGCTGTTAACTGTCCTGGTAACAGCGCACATTCTTGACACAGCCCTGTTTACATTTTGGTACGCATATATGTAGCTTCTTGGCATTAAGGCCCAAACACCGACAGGCCGCAGATATGCGTACCACCCCCATCAACAGGTTAACCAAGAAGACTAAGGACATCTAGTGATGGAATGAGAATAATAAGGGGCACAGTGCCAGAGAGAGGTGAGTATTGCATCTAAAACTGCTTTTTTTTAGAGGATAAGTTCACTTTTTAAGGAAAAGTTTCTAGGTAAAAAACTGTGCATTTGCTGATCGCGTGTGCCATGCAGGACACCTACAGACTGTGAGTATAAGCTGTATGCACATACATTGTACAGGCAGGCAGTTTCACACTGACAGGAAGGATCCAAGAACTACCAGTTTGCTCAACAACAGCTCTCTGGTAGTTCATTAACCACTTGCCTACCAGGCACTTATACCCCCTTCCTTACCAGGCCAATTTTCAGCTTTCAGCGCTGCCGCACTTTGATTGACAATTGCGCGGTCATGCAACATTGTACCCATATGAAATTTTGATCATTTTTTTCTCACAAATAGAGCTTTCTTTTGGTGGTATTTAATCGCCACTGGGCACTTTACTTTTTGCGCTATAAATTAAAAAAGTGCAAAAAATTTGAAAAAAAAAAAAAAGTTTATTTGTTTCTTTTATAAAATTTTTCAAACAGGTATTTTTTTCTCCTTCACTGATTTGCGTTGATGAGGCGGCACTGATGGGCACTGATAGGCGGCACTGATGGGCACTGATAGGCAGCACTAAAGGGCACTGATAGGCAGTACTAATGAGGTGGCACGGATAGGCGGCACTGATAGACAGCACTAATTAGGGGTCACGGATAGGCGGCACTGATATGCAGCACTGATAGGCGGCACTGATAAGTGACACTGATGATGGGTACTGATAGACGGCACTGACTGGCATCACTTCTGGGCACTGACTGGCACAACCCCTGGGCACTGACTGGTGGCACTGACTGGCAGCACTGCTGGGCTGCACTGGTGGGTGGCACTGGTGGGCAGCACTGGTGGGTGGGCACAGGTGGGTGGCACTGGTGGGCACAGGTGGGTGGCACTGGTGGGCACAGGTGGGTGGGCACAGGTGGGTGGCACTGCTGGGCACATGTAGGTGGCACTTCTGGGCACAGGTAGGTGGCACTGCAGAGTGGCACAGGTGGGTGCACTGCTGGGCACAGGTGGGGGCACTGCTGGGAACGGGTGGGGGCACTGCTAGGAACGGGTGGGCGGGGCACAGGTGGGTGCACTGCTGGGCACAGGTGGGGGCACTGCTGGGAACGGGTGGGGGCACTGCTAGGAACGGGTGGGCGCACTGCTGGGCGGAACTTGCGGGTGTCACTGCTGGGCACCGATCATCAGGGCACTGATCATCAGTGCCCTGATGATCGGTGCCGATCCCCGCTCTGACAACTGCCGGTTCTCGGCAGTACTTTCCTCACGATCTGACAGCGTGAGGAAAGTGCAGCCGAGAACCGGCACTTGCCTTTCCCTGTGATCAGCGTGTCATTGGACACCGCTGATCACGTGGTAAAAGGCCGGTGGGATCGGCCTTTCACCACATCACGTGATCAGCTGTGTCCGTAGGACACAGCGATCACGGAGATCGCCGGGTGCGCGCCCCCTGGGGCGCGCAGGAGAGCGTGTTCTGGGAGGACGTCATATGACGTCCACTCAGAACTGGCCGGCCGCGGTGAAGCCGTCATTCGGCTATGCGCCGTTGGCAAGAGGTTAAGAACTACAAGTCGACAGCTGCAAACCCTGTGAATGAATGATGAAGCAGGCAGAACCCCGCACAGCCATGTTTTTCTCTTTTTAAATTGTGACAGCTAGCAGGGGAAGAAAATCCCCTCTCGGGGGACCGAAGGGGGGGGGGGGCTTGAGCGACAGATGCCAGCCCTAAATTTGTTTGTGACATGTAACATGTTACGAAAGGTGAACTTATCCTTTAAACCTTAGTAGTGTGTAAAGTAGCACTGCTGGCAGCAAATTGTGAATGATAAAAGCATAAAACATCAATCTATCAAATGCTAAACAACCATTGTGAATAAACTCATAACAAAGTGCTTGATAATAAAATATATTAATAAATATATAAAGAATATATGAATAAATATATAAAGTTCATTCAATTCCACAAATTACATGATCCAACACCTTATAATATAAATCCATGCTTCACGTGAATTTCATACATTATAGTGCCACCTCCGTGCTTTCAGAACACTCCCCTCCAAGGCATATTGTACTGCGTGTTTATTAAAATTTCTCCATTGTTGGTCCCTATCTCCTCCAAGCACTAGTGACTGTCCACTCCTCCTCTCCCTTAGTTAAGGTAACGTTAAGGATTCCACTGTTTAGGATGGTAATGGTTGCCTTGCCCAAAAGAAAATACGCATCATATAGAGTAGTAAGTAGATAAAACTTCCGACATTGATTAAAATATTGCACTTACATTCAGGATAAAACAACTTGCTTTTAAGAACAGAGGATTGTGGCATGTACTTTCTTATTCCTAAGTCATCTGCCTCCGCTTACGTCCAACTCGTTGCGTCACTGTCATGTGACTTCATCCTGATGGTGTGGTCCCTTAGGGGTTTATTTACTAAAGCTGGAGAGTCCAAAATCAGACTCCCTTCTGCATAGAAACCAATCAGCTTCTAACCTCAGCTTGTTCAATGAAGCTTTGGCAATGAAACCTGGAAGCTGATTGGTTTCTATGCAGAAGGGAGTCTGATTTTGGACTCTCCAGCTTTAGTAAATAAACCCCTTAGAGTCTCACCATGGACAGGTCAGGTATGAGGAAATAGATGGATAGGTCAGGTATGAGGGTGAAGGGAGGTAGATGATTCAGGTGTGAAGGTGGCACATGCTGTCTAGGACTCCACTTACAAACAACATAACAATTTTCCATATTTATTTTAAAGGTGCAATTAAATAAAATGGAGTTTCACATAAAAATTCCTAACACCATAATGTTTCAGATGTATGAAACTGTGCAATTGTCGATCTGCATTTCCATGCACACTAGTCCCCTGCTACACTGAGATCATTCTGAAGAAAATCTGTTGTTTTTTGTAAATAGAATATGTACTGCACAAACTGTTCAAACATATATCACCCCTTTTAATATCATGCCTTTTTTTGCATACAAATTAATTTATAAAAAAGCCCATTAACCTTTTGCACTGGTGGACATATGTAATATACAGTAACATGGCCTTCATTCTCTAAGAGATACATTGGATTCATTTTCTTTCGATGATGGAAGAGTTAATTTTGCACCCCCCAAAAAAGAGAAGCACATTTACAGGTGCAGCAGATATAGGAAAAGAAGCCAGTTCAGAGACCACCTCACCTTTCACTTGTAAGTCTGTGGGTGACATCATCATGAAACAGCCAATAAGAAAACAGTTACCAGGTAGATCACCTTGCAGCCCCTGGCCAGGAGCTTGTGAACAGCCATCTAAAATCAAGAACTGTCCCCAGAAACTAGGGAAGTCTGGTCACCCTACTTTACATGCACTTTAACATTTATGGAGCTAAGATGTCAGCCCCAAAGATAGTGCATAGTTTTCAATTAGACTGTGAACGCTTCCACTAGGCAAACTAGGCAGCTGCCTTGTGCGCAGTGGCACTTAGGGGCGCCTGGGTGCAGCACTCTCTCTGTGTGGCTTATGGACCACTTGCATGATTTGTTTCTGTGCAGAGTCCCACTCGCCTCATACACAGGGACTTTACTCTGCACAATTGTCTCACAGCCTGTCCACACACATGACCATTTAGTAATATATACACAAATGACAGTATTCCATGTAGCAGTGAAGCGTCGGCTCCCCCTAGGTTTGGAAGTGATGACATTAGCCCAGGACCCTGGGCAGTTACCAGTCCCTGATCAGAGGCTTGGTACATGCGCACGCGATCCTCCAGCTGTAACAGAGAGCCAGCTAGTGACCGAATGGGGCACCACTGGCTCCACATTCTTCTACACTGCTGGAGCCTATCAATAGGTGGGAGTGTGCTCTGGTTTCAGGGTTAACCCTATGTGAGTAGGATGATCGGGACCCGGTTTGTATGAGAAGGAAGCAGTAGAGCTGGGAGGCTGCCTGTCCTCACTGAAAGCCACAGCCTGGACTTCGCACCCTGGCAGGAGCCATTAAGGGTAAGCTGAGTCTAGGAGGATGGCGGGTCATGAAGGTGATGGGAGGAGGGAGGGCAAACAATGGCCGGGGTGAGGGGAGCGGATGCTGATTGATCATGTGAGATGCCCCCACATCATGAATGATTCTTCAGCTGAGGGTAGGAGCCGCAGAGAGGGGGGGGGGGAGAAAGGACAGAGGAAGGTGCTGGGTGTCTGGGGTCAGTGTAGCAGCTGAGCTGCTCCTTCCAGTGTTCCTCTCAGACTCAGTCCCTTACTGCTAGCCAGCTGGCGGATGCTGATCACTGTGGAGTTTTGTAACTCTGTCTCTTTTTTTTTTGTTTCTCTGTTGAATTGGTTAATACAGTTAATTTATATTTGGTTAATATATATTTTGTCTTTAATATTGGTTCTGGTGGCATCTTATGGCATCTATTTTTTTCGAATTAAAAGAAATGTAGCAGTTTCATGTCTTGCTGATTTAATATTTTCTACTGTTTTTTTTCTGGGGGGTGGGGTTGCAAGTAGCTGGTCTAGGGTGCAAAATAGTCTATCACCGGCCCTCCTGTGAACTACATGCATTGTGAGAAGGAATATTAGAGCACAACAGTTACGTAGAAATACAGAGTATAATGTAAGTCCTGTATATGTAATGAGAAAATGAAAATGTCCCATGTACATATACAATTACACACTATACATAATACAACATTTTTATAAATTTAAAACACACATTGATAAGATTATTTGTATCAAGCCAAACTTCTTTACACATATTTAAAAAAATATATTGAAAAGTCCAAACATTAGCACTTTTTATTGAAAAAGCCTTAGACATTTTGAATGGCTGATTTGAAGGGTCACTGAAATTATGATAACATGAAAGCCTACTTATACAGACAAACACTTTTATGCTCTAGAGATCCTTTTTATAATACATCAGTACTACATAGGTTTGGTAATAGGCGTCAGCTTTGAAAATTATGTAATTCCACGGAGCCTGAGGATAAGAAATGAACTTAGCATTCAAATCACTGCAATGTCTGTAATTACACCACACAGAGCTAGAAAGTGTCTAATATGTGCAGAGAACACAATCAATACAGTCTGTTCCACCTATAAAGCTGAGGTCAAGGTCATCACAACAGATCCAAGCTTACATTTCACTCTGGATTTTACTGCAAAGGAAAAAATGTTGAAAATGGAATTTCTCTGCCTATGAATATGAGGTGGCTATATTCTAGTACCAGTGATTTCTGAATAAAGCCATTTGGGGAATGGAAAAGGTAGGACAAACAATATGTTAGTTTAGCATTCCAAAATTCTTACACAAATGCAAGGAATCCTCAAATGAAGCAATACTATCATTATAGATTATTTAACGCCAATCTATAAATGCAGCTGTGCTCAAAGGTTTGCATACTGGTTGACAAAGGTTGAGAAACAATGTTATAGAGAACACCCTCCAATGTAAGCATTGTTGCGCTTTAGAATGAACAAGTGTTTTACAACTTGCCAAAGCAGCAGAAAGTGTAGATATCTTGTAACAGCATATTTCATTTTTGAAATGTGAAATCACAGGGTTGCAGTATCATCAGACTCTTCTTAATTCATTGTCTTTCAGTGCTTTGAAGACATGAGATTAATCAAATAATGTATGAACTTCTTCTGAGTAAATAACCCTTCTCTTCTCCATCTACACCTCCTCCCTCAGCAAACTGATACACTCCCATGGCTTCAACTATCACCTCTACGCCGATGACACGCAAATTTACCTCTCCACCGCTCGCCTCACCCCTTCAGTCTCCGCCCGTATCACCCGCCTACTGAACGACATATCAGACTGGATGTCGCTCCATTTCCTCAAATTGAACCTTTCCAAAACCAAGCTCCTGATTTTCCCCCCAGCCCGTGCCCCCCTCCCCCCCACCCTCTCCATCATTACCAACAACGCCACCATCAGTCCCACCCCACAAGCCAAAGTCCTAGGTGTCACTCTGGACTCAAACCTGTCCTTTCAACCCCATGTCCAATTGTTGGCAAACTCATGCAGGCTCCACCTCCGCAACATCTCCAAAATACGTTCATTCCTAACCCCAGACATTACTAAACTACTCGTTCACTCCCTTATTATCTCACGTCTGGGCTACTGCAACTCGCTCCTCACTGGCCTACCGCGTTGCAGACTATCCCCGCTTCAGTCTATCCTGAACTCAGCGGCCAGACTCATCCACCTTACCAACCACTCCGCATCTGCCACCCCCCTCTGTCATTCCCTCCACTGGTTTCCGATTGCCCAACGCATTAAATTCAAACTACTAACATTGATGTACAAAGCCATTCATAACGC